TCTAGGCCGAAAATTCAATCGAAATGAATAAATCTGAACACTTAGAGAACAGTGTTGGTGTCCACCTATATTAGATTTGTGAAAGAACTGGTTAAACACATTCGTAACAAAGATTTGAGAAATCAGAAAGTGGCGCAAATAAAGGAAAGCAGTTATTTTTACGGACTGAAGTAAAGCGAAATAACAGTTCTATCACATATGTAAATTTTTAACTTCTACAAGTCTGCATTGGACTTGTGAATTGTACTTAAAATTTCTCTTTAACAAACCTTATAGGACAATTCAGCTCCGTTATTTTCATACGCCCACATTTTCATATGGACGTATTATGCCGTCGCCCCTGTCCGTTCTTCCGTCCATCCGTCCGTCCGTTCGTCTGTCCAAAAATTTTTTTATGGACACTCTACAGGTCACAATTTTTGTCCTATTTTGACGAAACTTGAAATATAGGTCTATCTCCCAAAGATCTCGGTTCCTGTTGACATTGGCATGTATCGGACGATATCTTCATGGATTATGGCCACAGAATGTACGAAAAATCAGGTTTTAGCTTGTGACACTCTAGAGATCACAATTTTAATCCGATTTTGATGACACTTGATATAAATGTTTTTAAGCCAACGATCATGGTTCCTGTCCATATTCGCACATATCGGATCGTAACTTCCCGAATTATGGCCCGTGATTGAACGAAAAATCGCGTTTTTAGCTTGTGGTCCCTCTCGAGGGCACACTTTTTGTCCGATTTAAAAAAAAAAACATTTCAGTATATCACCGTTACACCCTAATGATGGTTGAGTTCGGATTTCGTGAAAATTGGACCAAAACTGTCGGACAAAATGGCTGCCCCTCGTACACAAATAGTGTAAAAATATGGTATATCAAGGTTGTGGACTCTCTAGAGGTCACAATTTTGATCTGATTTTGATGAAACTTGATATAAATGTTTATAATTGTACGAAAAATCGCGTTTTTAGCTTGTGGTCCCTCTAGAGGTAACACTTTTTATCCGATTTAAAAAAGAACATTTCAGTTTATCACCGTTACACCCTAGGATGGTTGAGTTCGAATTTCGTGAAAATTGGACCAAAACTGTCGGACAAAATGGCTGCCCCCCGTACACAAATAGTGTAAAAATATGGTATATCAAGGTTGTGGACTCTCTAGAGGTCACAGTTTTGATCCGATTTTGATGAAACTTGATATAAATGTTTATACTAGTGCGAAAAATCGTGTTTTTAGCTTGTGGGCCCTCTAGAGGTCACAATTATTATCCGATTTAAAAAAAACACTGTCTGAATATATCACCATTACACCCTTATGTTGATTGAGTTCGACTTTCGTGAAAATCGTACCAAAACTGCCGGACAAAATGGCTGCCCCTCGTACAGAGAGAGAGAGAAAGAGAGAGGGTGAGAGAGAGAGAGAAAGAGAGATGGGGTTTAACGTCCACTCGACACAAACTAGGTCATTTCGGGACTAACATATGGTTTAATTTTATTTCAATAATTCGCTTGCGTGTAGGGGTCTTTAGCAGTGGGAGGAAACCGGAGGACCCGGAGCATTCCCACGAGGTTGGACAGGCGACCCTACTCCTTGTCACGTACAACCGGGGATTCGAAACCACGCCAGTTGACTCACTGACAGGCCTTATGATACAGCGCGCACGTGCTAACCATTTGGCCATCCCGCCTCCAACACCCCCCTGCCCCTCGTACTCAAATAGTGTAAAAAATATGGTATATCAAGGTTGTGGACTTTATAGAGGTTACAATTTTGATCCGATTTCGATGAAACTTGAAATACCTGTTTATAAACCAAAGATCTTGGTTCCTTTCGATATTCATGCATATCAGACTTTACGACAACTCGTCTTTTTTAGCTTGTAAATTCTCTAGAGGTCACAATTTTTATCCAATTTAAAAAAAAAATATTTAAATATATTACCATTTCACCATAATGAAGATTGAGCTGGAATTTCGGGAAAATCGAAACTAAATTGCCCAACACAATGGTCGCTCTTTGTACGCAAATTGTGTGAAAGTATGTAATACGACGGTTGTGGGCCCTCTAGAGGTCACAATTTTAATCCGATTTTTATGAAACTTAAAATATATCTCAAAGATCTCAGCCCCTTTCGATATTTGCGCATTTCAGAGCACAACTTTCTGGATTATGGTCCCTGATTGTACGAAAAAACGCTTTTGTTTTTAGCTTGTTCTCTATCCATCTCTTGCAAAATATGGGCGTATCTTGTCTGATAACCGCTAGTTAAATACTAGCAGTTTCCTAGCTGAATGGTTATACAAAGTCATAAATTAGACAAATTACATAGCTATATATGGATGGATTTAATTACTAGCAGAATTATCCGCGAAACTTCACTAGAAAGACAACATCAGTAATTGAAATCCATCAAGCTACAAAATTGATTTAGAAAATAATACATTATATAATAAAGTAATACACTGTATACTTCGAAACTAGTCTCCAGCAATATACCGTAATTACTTGTCTTTTTCGTGAAATAAATAAATGTCTATGATTACATAATTAGCGTAAATGTACTTACTTAAAAATGATAGAAAGGTAAATACCCTTAAAAAATCCATGATAAGACTGCATATCGTCTCGTGGGCGCTACAATAAATAATCTTTAAACTTCCTTAATTAATGACAAATGGTGAAATATATCCTATTTCACATACTTCTCGCAGTCCTAATCCCATTTAAAAACTGCCGTCAGGGGCTTCCGTGTCGGGGCGGTCCCTTTTACTGACCGCGGAGCCCGTACGGGGGTCCGGGGACTCTCCCCCTTGAAAAATTTTGAAAAATGAACCCCAAATATGCGATTTGGTGGCATATCTGATTATAATCTCGGTCAAATAATAAATCTCATAAATCGATTAATTTAGACCAAAACCCTGACCTGCAAGTAATTTACAACCATCAACCTGTGAAATTATCATATCGTCATATTATTAATTAACGTATTATCATTACGTTTCTGGCGTATCCCCACAAACAGGGTGCAGGTGACTTCATAATTAGTAAATTTGCGATCGACAATTTCTGATGAAATTCGGAATCCCCATTGCAGGATTCCGAATTTCGGCCCACACCCAGCACACACGGCCTAGAAAGTCTATTATACCAGCCCATTCTAGACTCCAGTGATGGCGTGGCGGCCAGTTAAAACCACCGGCCACATACAACATGATCATCATCGCTCCATGGCCGGCCCAATACCCCCCCCCCCCCCCATATAATGTTCAGCAGAAAAAGGTTTTTTAGACGAATTGGACAAAATTATTTTTTTCATATTTTGTCCGCCCGATGTCCCAATCCGCCCCTGACTGCCGTACTCACTGCAAATGTCTGTCCCAAATTATGAATGGTTAACAGTGCGATCAAAAACCAACCAATACATTACTACGTTACATTAACCAGAGCTCTAAATATGTTATCGTAACTTGTTTGGTGACAATCGCGGCTACATTACGTCATAACGCGCGAAATGTATTACGCTATATTAACTAGTGCATAACAAACTGTGTGACAAACGAGGCTATCTAAAAAGCTACAGTGTGAACATCGGGTAATCGCCGCGCACGTTGAATTATTTTATCATCTCTTGGACCACACAGCAGACGAACAATATGTTAACCATCTTTCAGTCATTTAATCAACTGTCCGAGGACCACAGCACAAAGAGAAGAGCTGGCATGTTACGTGTCGTGTTTCAACAAGCTATACGACATGCTCTTTTTTGATAAATAAATAATTCATGGATTTTCTCCACTAAAATTGATAAATATTATCGAATACTTAAAGGTAGGCAGTAATAATTGGTGCAAACAGACACGTTTATAGAATTTATATCGGAGATTTGAGTCAAAAAAGTTTCGTTTCAATAGCGAGTTGCAGCGACGGCCAAATTTACCGATGCATCCAAGGGTAAACATTTTCTTAAAATCAGCACTAACAAACACTGGGATTTGTTCTTAAAGAGGCCACACCCGTTAAGCAACCAGTAGGGATTTGATTGGAAGAAGAGAAAGGACACACTCCGTCAAATTTTCAGTCTCAGTACAGCAATGGCTAGAGAGGGATTTCTCGGGCCATTTCTTCTGGAATATGACTGTTTTACGGTCCTAAAAACACACGAATATCCAACAATGAGACTTTCACGTTGTATACCCGGAGAACCTGTGTTGTTATAAGGTTTATACGAAATACAGGGAACTACAACATCTATGATAGTACATAATATGAGTTATTATGTACAGTCTGAGTTTAATTACCAAGCCTAGAACTTAGACCTAACGGCTGAAACACTACGCGTTGTCTCTATTCCGGCCTCTAAAGCTGAGGCGGCTAATGGTACGTCTCTCTAGGAACGCCGTATGATGATCTCCATCCCAGCCTCGATCCAGACACTGTGGGTATGTCCTTCGGAGAAGACCGAATGATATCTAAAAGAACGTTAAATGTGGTTTAACGTCCTACTTTTCTGCATCGACTGGGCTAATGAAGACGGGCATACGCCATAGAGTGTGATGCGAAACAATATCTATTACATTAACACCTAAAGGCAAAGGTATAACATAAAAGTTTAAAACACAGATGTGACGTCATCCTTTGAGGTTGGTGTACCATTATTCAAATAATGGTACGGACAATGTGTCAGGCGTAGATTATTATATTATATTTGAAATATTAGACCCGCGTGACGTATTTCATTGAAATGCACGTGCTAGATAGTGTCTGTATTTTAAGTTGTTTAATGGTCTCGTGCTAAACGCACTCGTGCAATATCAGTATATTATTTAATGTCTCGCACTCGACCATTAAACTTCACGTATATCAGGACCAGCGGAAGCAATTCTTGATTTGGATGGGAGGGAGTGGGGCTACCATCACAGGATTTTACGCAAGGGTCCATGGGCCGTCTAGATCGTCGAGGACGCTTTCTGAGCGATTTCTAGCTAATAAAATTACTCAGCAATGAAGTGAAATTTTAATTCTTTTCTAAATTCCTTACCCTGAAAACACAGTCAATGGTGGTTGACAAATCTATGCAGAGTTAAGTATGAACGTTCATTTATGTATAATCCAGACTCGATGAAGTTTCGTTTTATTTGTCATTTATTTTATTTGGCGCTTAAAGTTAAAATGTTTACCAAACTAATTAGACTACAACCCGTTTCAATATTGTAAATTAAGTAAATTAATCGAAGTACTAATCGAAATAAAACAAATTTAAATTCAAATTATAATATGTAAGGAAACGGTCAATGCTATGTGTGTTAATAGTTCGTCGGTGTATTATATTCAAGTAGGAAGTTACGTACACATATTCGAAAATACATTACTGGTTTAAGAGTTATGAATTCAACACAATGGCATGGTAACTATTCATGTATTAATCAGTTTAAGGAAAACTGAATCAAGGATATATTAAAATCATTACAAACAGTTTTTTTCATAGCTTTATGGAAAGTCATACTAAATTGGAAGTAAAATAGGCCCGAGCCCGAAGTTAATAGAGCACAAATCCTATAATTCATGCATTATTATAAACAAACATGAATCGTGACGACAATTAATTTAAAAACATATATATGGTCATGAACAGAGAAATTTTTACAATAAAAAAAAGTTAAGAATGGTGGATATTGAACTGGCAACGCAAATGGATTTTATGAAATGGCAATTCTTAAATTAATTTCATGGGCGTTGATATCTTGTTTTAGGTCAAGTTACTTAAAAAATTCCCTTATACTTTGTTCAGGATAATGTAAAAGACCAGATAATCTAGCCAATGAGCTATTATTCTCAAATGTTGACAACACATCCAGACTAATATTCGTAAAATATTTGTCTGAATTATAGACTACGAGTTACTTTGATTATTTATTTTGATTAGTAATACCGGAAACACTCACGTTTTGATAAAGACATCCAAAAAATTAGTTACACCCTATTATTAATTGTGTACTCACACTCTAAGGCATAAAAAGGTATAAAAATAATACATAAGTATAATAGGTGGGTGTCCATGGGCCGCCTAGGCCCTAGAAGCTCCCAGGGGTCTGATAGCAGTGAATTATTTGATGGATAATGGATACTAGGAATAAGTGTGTGAAAAAAACTCTATACCGTCGTTTTTAATTACCTGTTACAGATACAACGGAAATGAGATGGACTTGAAAAAACGATCGACTGTTTAGTTAACTAATCGCGACCCTCACAACTAGGGGAGCTCTTAACCCAGGGAGGAGTATAGAGCATAGCAGGTTTTTTCCTTCTGAAAATCTACGTTCTAGAGGTAAATCAGGCCTCATCCCGTTACGTCATTGTATCTAACCGAATAGTCACTTGCGTGCAATAACCTGGAGAAAGGAGTATTTGCGTCCCACCCCCTCCCCACTTATATAAACAAGTATATAAAACAACAGTGGGAAATGAAAGGAATGAGAATAGAGTTTAATGTCCTACCGTTTTGCACCAAGAATACTTGGCGGATGTAAATAAATGCATGAGTTGTATAATAATAATAATAATGTGTGGCCAAATAAAGCAAGTATGATCGTTCTTTATGGACCCGGGGCCTGTTTCACGAAATTTTAACTAAGATAAAATCCAAATTTTAGTAATTTGATTGGATAATATTAGATTGATTTTAGTGCTTAGCCAATCAAAATTGAAGTATCTACTAAAATTTGGATTTTATCTTTTGTTAAAATTTCGTGAAACAGGACCCAGGAACCGAGCATGATATCATCGCAACCATCATGGAACCGGTTTTGCGATTATGAAAGGCCGCGCATAATAAAACGGAAATATTAGGTTGGACAAAACAGATCATTAACTGCAGACTCATGAAGCAAAATACATGAAAATACAAAACAGAGAAACGAGAAAACTTTGAGTAAATGCTTAAAATGAACGAATATGGTTTTTAAAATAACTGAATATAACTTTTATCAAATAAAAATCAGCCTGTGAACAGAAGCAAAAACAGCGATGAAACAGAAAAACGCTATTATTTAATCAAGTTTTATTATTTTTGTGAATAATCTGGAGAGATGTGGTCATAATTAGATGCACCATTTTTTTCGAACGATTCCTTTCGTTGACCAAGATGATCATAGGTTTGGCCCGGTATGAAAACTTTAGAGTTATCACCCCTGGTCCGTACAGTTTTATTCACCTGGGCATAGCCGATGGTCTGTTCTGTTTTGGGCCGTGTGTTGATGTCTTTATTTTGATGGAAATCGTTCCACAATTTATGATAGCGTACACTTGCACCAGATCCACGATTTAACCTGACAACGTATGGTTCTGCATATATATGCTGTGCGTTATTTTGCGGTTTTATTTCGTCGTTATCAATAGTTAGCGGACACGGGGAGTCTGCATATATAGACTGTGCATTATTTTGCGGTTTTATTTCGTCATAATCACTAGTTAGAGGACACGGGGAGTCTTTGTGGTGTACAGACGACCCCCTTGGCATTCTTCGGCTCCTGAAAACAATAAAGAAATAATTAATAGAAACTAGTCAGTGATCAACACCAAGTGCAGTAAGCTCCCAAAATAAAATGTGGACAGTAGTTACAAAAACGACCAAAACCGTTACAATTTCAACAAAAAAAAATAGATGTTATATATATTTCTAGTAAAGATTATGATATTTTAATATTTCATATTTTCACCCCAATGAAGAAATACGATATCCCCGATTATTATTATCAGCACCCGTGCGTAACAGCTCAATTAAGCGTTAATTGTATTGATGTTCATTCATTGTATTGATAACTGGATGTATTTGTGTCAAAAGCAGTGGAAAAATAGTGGCCCTTTAAAGGCTCAATACCACTCTTGTTGTAACTGAATAATATGTCCCAATCCTTATTCTGGTCAACAAATTGTACTATTTTAGAATATTTCAATTAATTGATGATACAAATTTCATCTTAACACACCTTATTTAAAAATTTTGAAAAATTCAACATAATGGTTTGAAACGTCTAACGTAAACCTTTTCAAATGAAACTTCGATTTAAAAATATTTTCGAACCCTCTGGACAAGTAAAATAGGATGTAATGGATAATTTACACAACAGGTAGGACACTTAAACATCTAGTACTTAGATAGAGATATTATTTATTTTCTGGAGCTTTCAAGCCAGCAAGAGTGTTATTGTCCCTTTAACAATTAGCTCAAACAAATGTACCACCCCAAATAAATATAAAGCAAATACTCGCAGCCTGTACCCTAATGACTGAGATGTTGTCTCCTTAGCCCACTCGATAGATTTTAACTCGGAACTTAGTCTTCGTGTAAAAGCACGAATAGCTTACCTGACGAAACAAACACCGCGAATTATTCGTCATAATATTATTGGCATTAATAATATGCAAGTAACCATAACAGTGATCCATACACCTTTAATAAATAAAAAAATAATAATTGATGTTCTTATATAGCAATGGTTATCAACCCTTTCCCAGTCCCATACCCTTTGGGATATTTTTTTTACCAATTTCCGAGCACTCAAATCTGCACTGTCCAAACGTTTGCATTTACTCATTACATCATGTCCCATGTTATGGAGGTTAGGACTTTGAACGTAAATCTTTGATATATCATGTAACACTGGCCATTCTAATCAGTTCATAGCAAGACGATCGCCACGGACTCTCTTTTTAATTTCACAAAGACACACAGTTTCTTGACGGACCCCTAGGGTTTTAGTGGACTCCAACTTGGTCTGTGAACCCTAAATTTGAAAATACAGATCTATAGCGCTTCATTTTTGATAAATACAATATTGGATATTTTAAGTTTTAAAAACGAAATAACGATTTGTATTACTTGAATTTCAGGCTATATAACATTAGGCTAATAAAGTACATCTATAGCTTGATTATAGTGGCATCGTTCAATATTATTATGTGGCGTTGCGATTGCATTAGTTATAGAACAATAGTAATTTATTTAACACAATTATAAAATACCTGTCAAAGACGCCGAGGCAGATCTGGAATTACAAGTGCTACACGATACATTTATAAACTTTGAGCTATCATCTTTAATAAAAAGAAAGTAGACACAATATTATAAGATGGAAAAGAGATAAGGTCATTCAAAAATGATTTGTCGACCAAAAATACCAGATTTCTATCAAACCATAAATCCTACATTTTAAAGATACATTATGGGAGATAAGATAAAGATCTTGCAGTTCTCACTAAAATAGTTCAAAACTAGATAATGTAAATGCAATTTGCTGAAAATTTCAGTCAAATTGATCCACTATGAACCGAGCATTAAGCGAAATTTCGGCCTAGCCTCGATCATCATTACTAACGTCTGTACGATAAAAAAACATGGTCTCGATCATCCATTTCATGATGAATGGAAGTCGAACTGCAAATGGGATCATAATCCAGTAAATATCGCAGGCTAGCGATGCCATCGAGAGTTGATTATGGTCTGGATAAGTTAATTAATGTCTAATTAATAATTTAGATAACATTTCAGACCTAAAGAAAGACCTGCATTTGGCAGATTTAGCTCTTGCATATAGAAAGGTTAGAAAAGTGTTTATGAATAAAGATAACCTTGTACATACTTTTAAAGCATTCATATGACCCACCCTAACCCTCGCTCATTGACTGAAGCTACCAAGCACTCGTTATACAGAGTGCCGTGTCCCAATAACCAGATTCCCTAGACCCCACCCACCCCACCCCGCATTGACCCTAAAAACTATGGTTACGAATTATCTCTTTCTAAAAAGTCTTTGCCCCCCTTCACTACCACACCTTAATTTGTGAAATGAAATAACAAGGGGTTTATACAGTTCTGCATCGACTGGGCTAATGAAGATGAGCATACGCCATACAATGTGTTTGGGGCAATTTTGCGTTCACGACAAAGTGTACATGGAACCTCAGTTTTTCGTCCCATACGAACGACTATACGTTGTGCCTTGCCAGAAAATTCCGATGAACATTCTCGGTCAACACAGGGACCGACCTCCAGGTTAGCAAGCCAACGTCTTACTCACTGAGCCGCCGTGGCTTCACCTTAATGTGTATACCCGTTTTCACAAAGTCGGTGACATCTATCTATCTATCTATCTATATATTTGTGACCGTCGTTTGTCTGTCTGTCTGTCTGTTCGGGGTTGGCGGCTACACTAGGTCTGCCCCGAGTCTGAAATTTGGGGTATAGGGGTAGCTCGGACCGGGGAGTAACATAGGCCAGGTGGCGTTAGTCTACCACTTCCGGTTTCAGAGTTATGACCCCCGAGCGAAGCCGTCCTGTTCGGGGTTGGCGGCTACACTAGGTCTGCCCCGAGTCTGCAATTTGGGGTATAGGGGAAGCTCGGACCGGGGAGTAACATAGGCCAGGTGGCGTTAGTCTACCACTTCCGGTTTCGGAGTTATGACCCCCGAGCGAAGCCGGGTATATGTCTGTCTGTTCGGGGTTGGCGGCTACACTAGGTCTGCCCAGAGTCTGAAATTTGGGGTATAGGGGTAGCTCGGACCGGGGAGTAACATACCCCAGGTGGCGTTAGTCTACCACTTCCGGTTTCGGAGTTATGATCCCCGAGCGAAGCCGGTCTGTTCGGGGTTGGCGGCTACACTAGGTCTGCCCCCAGTCTGCAATTTGGAGTATAGGGGTAGCTCGGACCGGGGAGTAACATAGGCCAGGTGGCGTTAGTCTACCACTACGGTTTCGGAGTTATGAAGCCGGGTATCCTGCTAGTAACTAATAAATTTCACCCAGCCGTGTCTAGATCTTAGTAGTCTTAATACAAATAAACATATATCATAACAGAATCCTAAAAACGAATTATAGACCTACTTCTCTTCAGATGTATCCAAATAATATCCTCATATTTAAGAAACATATTATTCATATCTATCTGTTTATCCCCCTCGGTCGTTAACACCTCACTCAACATAATAAACCTATCTTCTGTACAGTTGAACAAAGATAGACCCCTTGAAGAAGATGCGATCATCTTACAAGTCTCTTTACTCAAGTTAATGTATAGACTTTCAATGGAAATTGGTTTGGAACTGATGAATTTACAACATCGTGGTGACTGTGAACCAGATTTACCAGCAAGATGTATGAAAATGTCTTCGTTTACACTCTTTGCAACATTTTCATAAATGTTGATAGTGTTCAAATCTTTAAAACAAAATCAAACACCATAATTCGATAATAATACGTTCGACAAATAAATAGTCATCAAAGTTCTAATATAAACATTGAGAGAACAGTTTATCCCTTTCAACGTTTAAAGGCAAACATGTCGGTCTCCACTTTTAATTAATTAGAGCCAATGTTTCGATCCGGATTTCAGAGTAAAACATGACAGCTTAATTTTCGAATGCATTTATTGTATATTTAAATTTTATTGGATAATGTTTGCGTGTGCTTTAATCAAATTGTTATAAAATATAATCTAATCTGGTCGACGTGAAATGCACAATCCTTACCCTAACACAATGGTTCTCAACCACATTTTTTGCCAAAGGCACACCTTGAAACACATGAAAACATAGTGGCACACCTGGTAAGTCAGACGGCACACAACATTAGACAGAGGCTAGTCATAGACACATAGAATGACTCAAACTAAATAAAGAAAAACACAGCTATGAACTTATCAGTAGACACCAGTGAATACTCAATTGGGATCACGTGGTTTTTCGCATTTTCTTAGTTCCATTCAAAATTTCGCAGCATACATAGGAAGATGTGCCGCGGCACACTGGTTGAGAATCGCTGCCCTAACATAAGTTTTGGGTGCTGTACATGGGGACTCTTTTGACCAATTGGATACTTTTGGAGACATTTCATACCACCCTTTAAAATCATAGTTCTTGCATTCATGTACTCACCCGTTAAACAGAAATATACATATTTTACGTAACCATGGTCTGTTTCTTTATTAAAAGGTGAAACGACTGTACAAGACTGCATATGAGAACATTTCTTGTAAACTTCTTGTCGATCTGCAATATCAGCTGTCCTTTGGATATCGCCCCGGCGTGCTCTACAACAATCGTTACTATCACATTGACTTTCATCTTTACATTGACGTTTAGTATTCCCTAGTGTAATTTTATGACGCAGGTCTTCAACAGCTATTACTTCACCAGCTTTACAACTTAATGTAGTGTTGGTACAAGGTGATTCTGATGGACTGTAACAACCATACTTGTTTACACCATCAACTACCAGTGCTAGAATGAGTAAATGTTACATCGAGACTTTAAAAATCTTGACCTTACATAATGAGTCCAATTCCCCATGGGAACTTTAAACCTTCAGATAAACTATTTCTGAAGTTTGTGGCGGTCTTTAGCAGTGGAGGTTATCGGAGTATCCGAAAAAACACACGGTGTTAGGCGGGCGAACCTGCTTCCTCTCACGTACAATGTTAGATCGAAACCACACCACCTGACCCAATGACAGATCTTATGATCTAAAGCGCACGCCACACCACCCCTCTTATTAACGTTTGATAATAACCCTGTATTTTATATGTAGTTGTTATCTGTTTTTCTATTTAGTTTGTTTATGCTCATTTAAAGGTAGACCAATAGTTAGTTCATTATGGAACTGCATTCACAGGAACAAGGATATAATGTGAATATACTAGATTTATTATCAGGAACATATACATATACAAAATAATCATAATCATTGAATACTCGCACGGTGCATACTACCAGGCTATGCTAAGAGGTCAACCCCACAACCGCTCTGCTTCCCTGCTTCCCTAATGTCCTGCCTTCTGTTAAGATTTTGAGGGTACCATCAGTGCCGGACTGATCGCCGAAGGCCCACCTGTCAGGTCATTGACCAAGGCCTACACAAGTACGCACGTAAGGCGCGCGATCTTCCGGGGGGGGGGGGGTCTGGGGGTCTTCTCCCCCCAGGAAAATTTTGAAAATTGACAACCGCAAACCCATTCTCCAAGCATTTTAGACCAAGCAGAAGAAGGCAAATTTTTGATTTCCTGATACAATTGGATAACAGAATGACCTAAGAGCACTATCATTAGATGAATTTAAGAATTCTCTTCAGTGTCAAAAACAAAAACCTTTTATTCTCCGTGATGAAAATAATGCAAATTATAATATACATACAGTACACGTAGCCTATTTGACAGTTCTGTTGACACAGAATATAGCGAGAATCTTCGAACTCACAGAAGTAAACGAATGATATCATAAGCTCGTGAACCTCACAAGCTTATGATGATATTTGTTGAGCAGGAATCGAAAGAGAAACTGAAAGTGAAATCCAAACCCGGAAGTGATTAATTTTTCGCGAAAAAATCAAAACTGGCAAGTTTTTAGCGATTATTTCGGCGATAATGACTTATGAAGAACTAAGTAGAGGTTAAAAGATGAATTACACGGTTCTCGGTATAATGAGGTCAAACTCATAAAGTTCTTTCCTTGTAGTACACTTCTTTTTTTGTGTTGTTTGTCAGTCATTTTTTTCTATCTTTTCTTCTCCTGTCCTGTGTCCTGTCCTCTCCTACCTTCTTTCTTTTCTTTTCTCCCCCTCTCCTTTCTTTCCCTTTTCTTTTTTCTTTCTCTTTTTTCTTTTTTCTTGATAGACTTAGGCCCACTTTTTTTTTAATGAGCTTAGGCCCACCTGTGACGGACAGGTGGACAGGTGGGCCCAGTCCGGCACTGGGTACCATATTATGTATATAATAATCATTCTTAAACTGAATTTATTTTTTATCACAGTCATCATGGATAACAAAATAATACCCTTACCTGAAGATGATAATAACATCAACATTAATATATCAATTGCTGCCATTATCGTGAGAATTGTGTCTTAATATTATGAGATGTTTTGATATCTTCCGTATCTTTTGACTCATCGGGGAGTATTCGTTTTGCTGTCATTATCCGGGTTATTGTATTTCAATGTCTATATATATGGTTGCATCATCTGAAGGATGTATTAATTAAGTATCAGTTTTGCTTTCATTTTCCGCATTATTGTATTTTAATTATAATTGATGGTTGAAAATTATATTGATGTTGAGTCAGTCGAATGTATTATATGACAAGCTCCGCGCCTTCGCCTCTCACAGACGACCGACACCGTCGTCTGTAACCCGGGCATTTCAGATTCTGCCCCTCCCCAACTAACATTCATGTACAAGACTGTAATATCAGCTGGATAGTTGTCTCGACGTGGTCTACAACATTCGTTGCTATCGCATTGACTTTCACCTTTATCATTGAAGTTTAGTATTCTCTATTTTGATTTTAAAAAGTGAATTGACCCCTAACCGCTATTATATAGCACCAGCTTTACAACTTAAAGGGCAATATTGGCTCTCACTAGATAAGGAGCATTGTCATATTACGACTATTCATTATTCACATACGTACATGTAGTAGTAGTATTTGTGTCATCGCAAAGTCTTAAGCGTATATGTAGTTGCCTCCCTTCAGTTATAAACGCACTCGAAGTCGTGCCCAGTCAATCTCGGTTGTGCACATGTCTAACGAAATGAAATAAAATGAAATGTGGTTTAACGTCCTACTGCTCTGCTCCGAACTGGGCTAATGAAGAAGAGCATACGCCATACACTGTGCTATGAGGGAAATTTTGCCCGGACAGCGGCACTACGGCCTACTCTTATATCGAATTCCAACTGTCAGGGGATCTTTTACGTGCATGCCAATGTGTACACGGGACCTCGGTTTTTCGTCACATCCAGACAGCTGTCCTTGTCAGGCCGTCCCTCCTGCATCACTGACAAGGGGGGAGCACGCCGGAAAATCTGAATGAACTTTCTCGGCCAATGCAGGGATCGAACATATACGACCTCCAGACTAGCGAGCCAGCGTCTTACCCACTTAGCCACCGTGATCCCAACACATGTCTACCATTATTAGCAGCCTATCACTAATGTCACAAGATAAGGGAAAACGAAAAAATAGAAATAGTCCGTACATTCCCTTGTTTTTATTCAGTCCATACTTAATGGTGATGTACGGACCTTTTCTATTTGTTCTCGTTTTCTCTTATCTAGTAGCAGTCAGGGTTTTTTTTAATTGTCAGATATCCTCCCACAGTCTCATATAACAACTTATTAGTGTGCAATAATTTCAACCATCGTACTGGTTGTTCGAAGCTACGTCTCGCTCCTCCATTTTTAGCTTAAATCGAAATATGGCTGAACTGTTCTAATCTATTTAATATCGGAGAAATCCGATGCCATCGAGTGTTGATTTTGGCTTGGATAAGCTAATTAATGTGTATTTTAATTATTTAGAAAACATTTCAGGCCTAAAGAAAGACCTGCAATAGACAGATTTAGCTCTTGCATAATGTATGTTTAAATTTTGTAAAACTTTATAATGAACATCCGCAATGCCATACCTATAGTTGCTTAGTTTTGTAAAACATTATCATGAACATCCACAATATCATACTTCGTCGCTAATTTTTGTAAGACATTAAAATGAACATCCACAATTCCACACCGCGTCGATTAAGTTTTGGTAACAGTGATTGTTACAGAGTAATGTCAGCCTTGAACGTACACGTTTCGGATAACTTTTATTCTATACAAATCTACTTGGTTTTTGTGCCAAGATAAACCATGATTTTGAGAATGAATAAATATCACCAAAGCTTCATAACCATTACCTTCAATCGCATACACTATTTTCAAAGATGCCTCTGATTTGATGATATATTGATTCTAAATACATAATCAAACTACTTTCTTGTTTGAGGGAGGGATCATACTGGCTTGTATTTGTCGTTACTCGCTGTCCATTTGCCATAATTTCTTCGATTATTTTTCACAATCGCTAGCCATTCGATCAACATATATACCAATCACCCCCTGCATCATCCGAGCAGACAACAAGTCGACAGCTTGCTAGTTAGTGATAACTATGCTCGTCCAATGGGTATTTTGTAAAGGCAATGCATTATATTTCTAGTAAGATGGAGCGTCTCTACTTTCCATTATATATACCAACTTTGCTACAGCCTACTTTTATTAGAAATAACTGCACTATAAATCCTTTAACGGATCTGCATTATTCTCATCGTCACCATCGGTACATCCATTTAACGCAAGGCAACGAAATGCATGTAAAATAAAAAATGTTTACAAGGCTTTGATGATTATGATGATGATGATGATGATAATGACTCCTGAATATTTAAAAAAAAAACAAATCAATTTCCAGAGATTTAATATCACACAGTTCGAAGAAATTAGGGTTTTTTTTTCAGGATAGCACAACTTGTGGTGACGAAGGAACATTATAATAATAAAGCACTGTTTTAGTTCTTTGTTCTTGTCTCGTTATATTAAAGAATACTGTCACCTAAAAAAATAGGAACTATTAATTAATGTAAACGCACTCTTATAAATTGTTGTAGATGTCTGTACGTAGTCGGAATACCTATACATATTATTGCTTTACTGCGCTTATCGTATCTGTCCAATGAAGTACTGGTCAATTCATATTCTCGATCTATCCTTTCTATTACGTTTATGGGTGTATTTAAATCTATAATATTCCTTTCCACAGGGAGAGAGAGAGAGGGGGGGGGGGTGGCAGGCGACCCTACTCCTTGTCACGTACAACCGGGTAATCGAAACCACGCCACTCGTCTCAATGACAGAATTTATGATACAGCGCGCACGTGCTTTTTTGTTCTTCTTGTAGATATTTTTATTCACACAATACAATTAAGATACATAATTCTAATTTCATTCTACAAGAATAATTTCACAGGATATTTAGCACGTGCTAACCATTCGGCCATCCAACCCCCAATGTGTTATAGAAATAGAACAAGTACTTATCTACCCGTCTCGTGACTTACAGCTAATACACACATTACACAAATATACTAGGAACGGGGGTAAAAGGAAAATTGGAAAGGTTGCATATTTATAATGCATTCAAATCTGACATCCTCAGTTGAAAGGGAAGAGGGAAATATTGCCCTGGAAAATATATTTACAAACTATTCCCACATTTACAGAAGTTAATCATTATGGTACCAGAGCATTGAGAATATTGAACGCGCTCAATATGGCGATTAGGAAGTGAATATACATGGAATTTATGAAAATTTAGCATTTGTATCTTAAAAACATGAGCAGTGCTCCGTTTTGTAGTTCATGTGGCGGATACGGCACCTCTTTTTAAGATCAAACTGATCTCCCATACGAAGAATGCAATTAGATTTGTCATTATTTTTGTTGAATAAACCTTTTTATGTGTAAAAATTGTCATTACAGTACATTTCTTTATTTGGTTCTATGTTCTATTTATTTGAAGTAGGTATCTAAATATGATAAGAATCTAAAAATATGTTAATTTACCTATAAATATAACACAAGTGATACAGATTTTTGATAAGCTGTTGATGAAGGGGCACATCCGCCGATAAGATTCCATTTTGGGTCTCGCAAGGGTCTATGAACCAATAGTTATACAGACCCCTACTTGTCGTTATCAGCAAGGATCTATATTCGATAGTATTTAAGGGATGGGGGCAGATATTGTTGTCAAACTTGCGCTTTCCAGTTAATGTATGGTCGTGAATGGAAATGTTACGGAATCTGTATAAATATAAGTTTTATTGTTTGAGACTGGGTTAGGAAACTAAATAACTGTGCGAACTGCTGGACCGATTTGTGATTTTACTGGTGTATTTCAGGTTATCAAAAGTGGGATGTAACAGTTCATTATTTGCATCAATTTGATTCGTTTATTTTACACCTGTATGCAGATCGTTAGAAAAAAGAATATCACTATAAAATTAAGGTGCTCAGAGTTAATTCACTAAAGACGAGTGTTCAATTGAATTGTTCATATAACAAGAAAATCGCGAACAAGATACAGCTAAAGGTGGATTGTTATTGGACCACTGAGTAAAAGTCTCCTGTTTACCATTTTATCATAATTCTTTTTGGAACATTTGGAGGAACTGAATTTTGCGAACCTGTTAGATCAAGCAATGTATTACTTAGAAGGGTATTTCTTTGAAATAATCATTTTCATAACGGTCTTGATAGTCTGCTTCATCATTGGTATTTCCTGGTACGTAAATCCCCTTTTTTCTGAAAATTTTGATACTGTCTTATTTCAGGCAGTTTTAACAATACATGACATTTTGTTGTTATTCAATTATATTTTAGTTTGTTCGAAGTCTTTTATTCATGTGTATACTACTTAAATATGTATACACCCATTGTATTTAATAGTAGATCTCTGTTTTAACAGGCATCTACATAGACATTTTAACCAGTTCCATCGCCTTGGTATTCGAGGACCCAGACCATCCCTGGTTTGTGGCAACCTGGCTGAGTTATTGCAGAAGGGGCAGCATCAGGCTATACAGGACTGGACAAGCGAGTATGGACGAATATTTGGGTGAGTTTTTTCAACATTCAAAAACAAATTTTAAAAATCTGGCTACTAAGTTGTCCATACTTTATATTCATACAAAGGATGAAAAAGGTTTAATGTGATTTCTGAGGAGAAATAATGTTTTGTGTGTAATGAATTAAACCATAGATGTTCTTGTTTTACAGATATTTTGAGGGATACACACCGGTTATCACTGTTGGGGAACCTGATTTGCTGAAAGATATCCTGGTGAAAGACTACCCTAACTTTAAAAGACGAAAGTCGTTTCCCTTGGCACCCAAGAAAAGTCTAGGGCTATTTTTAGAGGAAGGTGATCAATGGCGGAAGAGTCGATCTTTACTAACCCCAGCTTTTAGTTCTGGAAAAATGAAGCAAATGTTCTCAATAATGAACGATTGTACCGATTTGATGATCACAAACTTGGACGAAAAGGCGGATCGGAGCGAGTCGTTTGATATTTACAGCATGTTCCAGTGTTTAACCTTAGATGTCATAGGACGGTGTGCTTTTGGTTTAAGAACGGATGCTCAAACAGATGCTAATGATCCATTCCTTACACAGATCCGGACATTGTTTGATGGAATGACAAAATCTATCATACTTCCATTAGTTAGTAAGTATATCTAATTACATGTAGGGGTGTGCTGACTCATGATTTTGCATGAGGAACAAGCTTTGTTTAGCGGAGGGGATGGGGGCTGTGCAGAGAGCATGCTTAGAAAGTCGATTTGTAGCGCATCTAAACGACGGTATATGTGTGACACTGGTTGCGCATTATGGTTATGATTATAGCATTTAAAACCACATTGAAACCGCGTGGTTTTGTCTGTTTGAGAAGGTGCATAAAATCTCAAGGGGGCGCAAAAACTCAAAACCATTTCGTCTCCATAGCACCAAAAACAAGACCTGCACACGATTCATACTATAGAAAACTTCACAAACGCCAGAAAATTCTTACAAAAAGCACCTGTCTTTAAGATTGAGGTAACTTTTCTGTAGTCTTTCTAAAATACTCTTTCCAAATTCCCTTCATTTCAATAATCCGAATGAATTTGAACGGTGTCTTATTTCTGTACTCTACTTTCTTTTTCAGTGTTTATGCCATTTTTACGATATTTTATCTTCGCTGTGAAGAATATTGTGGTTATATTTGGAATGAATCCTATTGTTTGGTTACGTCAACAGATGACGGATGTTATCAAGATGAGGAGAGAGATGGGAACGGGGACAAAGATTGTTGATCTGGTGCAGCTTATGCTCTATCCGGAACTAAAGGCCCGGCATAAACATCTGGACTCAGCCATGATGAAAGAGCCAATGACAAATAGAGAAGTTGTAGCCCAGAGCATAACGTTCTTGTTGGCTGGATACGAAACCACAAGCACTGGGCTGGCTTTTATGAGTCACATGCTGGCAATGAATCCTGATATACAGAATAAATTACTGACAGAAATAGATGAAAAAATTGGCGAGGTTGGTATCATGCTATTTACATTAAACTATGAAACATACACATTTTATATCCCCATTTCTTCACAAAATGTATCGCTCATATTTTGCAATGAGAAAAAGAACCAATCAATAAAAAAGGGCAATTTCTGGCAAATCATGTGACTGGCAGTAATCTTTTATGTGTCAACCCTTAGTATATTCGAGCAGTAAATTAATATGCATAAATCAATTTGTAAACTTATTATTTCAGAAAGAAGTCGATTACGAATCAGTTCAGAAATTATCGTATTTTGATCAAGTTTTTGATGAAGTTTGTCGAATGTATCCAACTGCATCTTTGATTGTAACAAGACGGGCATCTGAGACTAAAGAATACCACGGAATAACAATACCAGAAGGAATAAATATACAGGCTAATATATGGGCTTTACATCGCGACGCCACCTACTGGCAAGAGCCTGAAACATTTGATCCCGAAAGGTGAGTTTTCTTTAGTCGTTTGTAAGATTAACACTATCAATATTAAGGATGGGAAGGGGAGGGGGGGGTCGTTTCGATTTCTTTTCGATTCGTTGATAATTGTAAACAGCTTTACAACGTTTGGATACAAAACATAAAATTCCTTGATAGTATCACATCAAACAACAAAACTAGAAAATTAATCAAATGAGGTTTAAACGTTATACCTTTTTCTATATTAACTTGGCTGATGAAGACACATAATATGCGATACAGCGTGCTATAACTGGGAGTTTTCCCTGGCAGCTGTGATTCCACCTACTCTATTACGCTGTTATTTGATTTACCAGGCCCTGTCATTCCAGCACCACTGACACGGGCGGGGACGCCACGCGGAGATATCTTGAGGAATGAACATTTGACGGACTCCTGGTTAATGTTCCCGTACAGTACTCACTGAACCACCATTCGACATTCAACATAACTAAGCAAAATGAGAGACTAAAATTAGTCATTCCTTTATTTGATTATTTAGCGTTCGGCAGAAACACAAGAACCCAGGGAAAACACACGGGGTCAGACACGCCAAGACCTTGCCAATCACTGTCAAACTCACTGTAACTGAATATTGAGCGCTCAACGCTTCGGATCACACTCCTGGTGGCTAAAATGGTTTAACACATATCTGATAATGCGGCGTTTTATGTGTTCCTTAAAGTACTACACTTCTGTTTGGCAATAATACCTTGTATTAAGTTCGGTCATTGCCTTTCAAGTGACAAACTGTCAAAGATAATTACTAGGTTGCAAAAAGAACGTTACAAACAAACCCAATAACCCGAATCCAAAATAATCTAAGCAACCCGACAGTTGCGTATTTTGATGGGATGCAATTGGGCCATGCATCGGGGACACTGATGGACACGCGTATTTCATTATATGTACCAACATTTAAACCTTCGACGACAGTGCTGAATCTTTTTGCATGCCACCCCCCCCCCCCCTTTTTAGTTAACCTGTACTATATGCCAAGGAATCTGTAAGGTTTAAAATAGCAGCTATTGTACGTAAATACTGTCATATTTTGATATCTTTGTTAATAAATTACAAGCACGCAATATACTATCAATTAATTCCATCCAATGAAGACGGTTCCATCCGACTGTTCCAATTTGTCTTATATTGGGGACAAAATGACTAGGAAATAAAACATCTATGTGACGATGCTTTTCGTAATCTGTACAAACGTGTACTAGCGTATCGTGTTTCTTAGACCATTGCAGGTGTGTTGTTTGTTTACATGTAAAGCTCAAAAACCTCTCAAAGCAATTTAAACATCATTTTTCTTTAGTTTAAGCCGTTCTGTATATTTTCTTTTCAGATTTTCACAAAGAAGAAGAAGTGAGATCCAAGGCTACACATATTTACCGTTTGGCGCAGGTCCTAGAGCGTGCATAGGAATGAGATTTGCCATACTGGAAACTAAAATCGCCATCGCAAGAGTGCTACAAAAGTTCGAAATATTAAAGGGAGATAATATGAAGGAAGTTTTAGACGTTGAAGCTCGCGGTGCAATCGTTCCTAAAGATCCGGTAAATGTCAGGGTTGTAAAACGAGTTAAAACAGATTATACTATCAGCGAAGAGTGACCCGTCCGTGAGTAACCCGTCAATAGGACCGGGAAATTCTCGTGAATAAATAGTTAGCATTCTAGTGTGTGATTCATGTTGCAGAAGAAGAAAGGATAATCAGAAGAATAAGACATCCGTGATAGACTGCTGTTCAGTCAGTGACTGTGCCATAACTGCCTGGGACGAGTTATCTTTCCCATGACCGGGGGATGTTTCTTTTGTATACAAACATTGGAGAAAACAATATTTTTGTTGTCGGAATATAACCGCTCAAATTTTGAATACACCGGTGAATACTGCTGACAAAGATTGACCGAGGATATTAGATTGTATTAGAATGACTTTATAGAAAGTTATCATTGTTGTATTTATATTTAATGTGTCTAATAAATTATTTTATTTTGTTTACAATACTGCAAGCGTTTGAGATGGTTGATGGAATTATTTTCTTTCTTTAGGGGTAGGGGAGAGACTGGAGATCTAACCAAACAACACTCGGGAAAGCATTGGTTCACATGTTTGTTCCCCTCGCGGACCCCTTGGGCCACATTACAGATCTCCAAGTACCGACTAAACCTGCATTTACTCTATCCAGTAAGAATTGCCTTATTATCACGGTTGCCACCATTTTTCACATAAAATATGTGATAAAACCTAACATGTCACATCTTAATCTGAACACTTAAATTAAGATATAAACATGAATGTACCAATAGGGATAATCACTGATAGTCCTAAACTCAGCGAAAACTATTTTTAAAATGTGGCCCTGATATCAGCTGCTGAAATCCATTGTCCGAATACCAACAATTTAATGCGGAATTTACTTAGTTATCTTACCTCCCTGCCCCTATTTACCCAGGGAGCGGCAGTGGCTCGGTGAGAAGGAAGCTGGCTCACTAACCAGGAGGTCCCGGGTTGATCCCGGTGTTGGCCGAGAAAGGTACCCGGGATTTTCTAGCTTGGTTTCCCTTTGTCAATGGTGCAGCACAGGAGAGCCCGACAAGGACAAAATTATGTCGTTTTCAAATGTAAACTTGACAGTTGGCATTCGAAATGAGAGTAGGTCGTATCACCTCTGTTCGAGCATAATTTCCCCCATAGCGCACTATATTGCGAATTCTAGTCTTCAGTGGCCCAGTCGGTGCAGAAAAGTAGGACGTTAACAACCATTTCATTTCATTTGATGTCCCATTTACACCCCCGTGGACCTCAGATTGAGTAACTCTATGGTACAGTAGACGCACACTACAAAACTGCGATGGGTTTTCGGGCTCCCCTCTTGTTTTGTCAATTCTCCTTCGTTACAGTCATCATTATCCCAGTCGGTGCAGACACGTGGGACGTTAACCTTATTTCAATTCATTTGATATTTATTTGTCAGAAACCATGGCTTGATTTCCCGACCATAACGATGTAATGAGGACCCTTTCGTCAGAGGTGTAGGGCAGAGGGTCTGGCAGTGAATAGCGTATAGTTGTTCAGGTGGGGTAAAAAAAAAGGGGTACACGTTGGCGTGCACAAAAGAACCCTTGACACATGAAGAGATGGAGGAAACACTGCCGTCCAGACACAATGTCCTTTATATACACACTGCATGGTGTATACCTGCCTTCATTAGCTCGATTGGTGCAGAAAAGTATGACGTTAAACCCCATTTCATTTAGTGTATTGGAACTACCACACCCAAGAAGGTCCTACTTTTCTTTTCTGCGTATCAACTGGGATAATGTCGAAGAACAGCAGTTAAATGGTGCAAAAGGGGAGGTTTATTTGTGGGTGACAGTTTTTCCAAGCAAAGTTTTCCATTTATTGAGTAAAAGGCAACAACGTTTACCTGAAAGTACAAAGCCATGTTTATTTCATCGGGTTCACATTAACCACGTGAGTAATCAGAACAACCATAACAGTGTAACATCAATAACAAACAGTAACAATAACATGTATAATCATATATTTATATTAACATTGATTAATTTCAACATTGAAGGCTCTCGTATATATTTACTCTAATACGGGTTAGTTTAGTTAACGTTGCAGACCTGAATCTGATTGACACAGATGTCATTTAGACCACACCAATTTGATTTTCTATTCCTTAGGGACTTGATAAAAAAATATCCACTTAAATCGTGTGAAAATTTTGAACTAAAAGCTTTTGAACAGCACAACCAAGTATTTTTCACGAAGAAATAAGAAAGGTGTTCCAAAGAACAGAAAATCAAATTGGCGTAGCCTTACGTTCAATTCTACTACTTCTATTACTACTGCTACTACTATAGAGTAGTGTGAATGTAGGATATAATAAACGAAACAAAACTGTAATCAAATTTTAATGAGATCAATATTCCTGTTTTTCTTGAGACTTAATGTCTTTAGTGGTGCAATTTGTGATTTAAAATATAATGAATATCTTTTATTGGGCATATCCAACCTTTTTGGATAAAACAAATTGTAGATTTCATTAATTTTTATATGTTGCTTTGTTCTATAGGGTTGGATGACAATATGTCTTCGTTGAGAATTTTATGTCTATAGATAAGCCACTTTTGAGATACAACCGATTGTGTATTCCACTCTCGAAACAGTAAGAGAAAAATGAAATCAAAACAAAACTTTTATCATAATAGAAATAACACATCAGAATATTCTACTTTATTTTGTCCTGAATCAAAGCGGGTTAGTCACTTAAAGCATACTAACTCATCGTTTGTGACCCGGGTCAGGTAACGTTTAGAGTATTAATTTCTGGAATGCAAATATCTACCACGAGCTAATAGAAAGTCAGACTTACCCTTTTGGCAGTTATTCGGCTTATATTATATTATATGAATGATTAGACATAAGTTCTGTAGTCATCGATGCGTTTACGAAATATCGCAAATGTTAATATAATTTATGGCCAGTTAATAGGCTTACCGTTAGCCTTTGACTTACAAATCAGTCAATTGTTGGAGGCTAAACACGTTATCAAATTAAAGAATGGGTTTGTGTTAAGAGTCTCTACGAGTCTTTTACAATATTACATTGGGACTGTTTTATTTATTATGTATGTGATTCCGAGCGCAATGCGAGTACGCGGAATTTTGGCCGTAACAGGGAATAATTCGGCCTACTCCTGTCTAAAACAAAATAGTTACATTAACACGAAGCTAAATTCACATATAAATCATTCATTTCGTCCTTGCTTAACATCTTTATACTTCCTACCTTCCCGGCACACGCATTAAATATATCTAAAGTCGTTCAATCCAATAATTTTATACTTTTACAAACAAAATGTACAACTTTTACTCACAAAATGTACAACTTTTACTCACAAAATATACAATTTGTACATATAAATATACCTAACAAATGTACAATTTGTACACATAAATATTCGCACAAAATGTACAACTTTTACTCACAGAAAATACAACAATAAAATATATTTAATAGTCAAGTGCTCACGTTTTTCTCCTACTATTATTATACGTTTAATAAATCTAAACTACAATCTCGTGAAGTTGGCCATATGCCACAGGAAACAATAAACAGAAACATAAGCACAATTTTCCATGCTGACAAATCGTCTATTATACTCTACATATCGTTGCAGTTATTTAAACATTATTAAATGCCACTAAATGTGCAAATACTATATACTATCACCCAATCCCTTCTTACATGCACAAATAGATAAATATAATTCTTTGCTGTAGATTTCACTTTTACTGAACATAGCGGCGTAGTGATACATCATTTTTTGACAGCAATTCAACCATTGCAAATTCCTTTATATTGACCCAGTGTTTCCATCAAGGTCAATTGAATAACAATAGTTCAAATCAAATTCATGTAAGGAGATATCGCAGTAGATTATGAAATATATCACACAAGCGATATCTACTGTAGAATGTATTATTGGGTGATAAAGCCTAATACATCGGGACTAATATTTGAATAGTCTTGTCTCATTTTCAGTCGCCTCATTTCAAAGTACACGCCGGCGTCTACTACTTTTAAAATTGTTCACCGTGTCTTAAATATTTGAAATCAGGTTCCCATATATTTACAGTATTGATTGAAATACACGAATAATTCGTGTAATACTCTGGATATTATTGAGATAGAGCCTTACACTCTTTAAAGAGACATTATTCAAGAGCTAAATCTGCCTATTGCAGGTCTTCCTTTAGACCATTTAATTTAAAAATGGAGAAGCGAGGCTAAACATCGAATAACCATCACCGTGGTTACAATAATAAACAATCAATGCCCACATCTTGTCAAAACTACAAACATTGATAACTTAGCTCAGAATAAAGTAATTTGAATGAAATTTTCAATATATTCATTTTGCACTATCTATTTTTAAACTAGTATAGCAAGAACGACCCGTTCTTTAGCTAAATCTTACACGATGTATCTTTAAATAATACTTAACATTCGGTTTAATTTAGTTTATATTGCAATAAAGAGTGATATTATATTCTGATCAAATCACTACTAACAAGACAATACAAGTGTTAAAGCATCAATATGTTTCTAGAAACAGCAAATCTAATTTGTCACCCAATTTCATGTACTCCCAGATATAACTTTGTTGCTTTAACGATCTTAATAATGACATTTCGGTGTATTAAAAACTTTTCTGAAAACGAGAACAGATTAATCCAGTGCTTACCAAAGTGTGGGCCGTGGCGCACTCGTGTGTTACGAGGTGTAATTAGATATATACGCCACAAAAGAACCAGATTGCCCGCCCTCTAAAACCAATATTGGTACTTCCTTTCTCAATTTATTGAATAAAGAACTAAATCTAGACAACCTGTTCTGTATTTCTAATTATCGATTTTCTACATTGAATTATGCTAATTGAATTCCTCTTTGTGATACGTTTTCAAGTATATGTACAAGTATATTTACTTCTTCTAAAATGCGCTTGGTCTACGAAGGACACAAACATACTAACCAACTAGTGGGCCGTATGGGAACCCCAATATACGAGTCTATTACATCACACTCGCATGTACACAAACGATCTATAAACTGTAAGTTTGACGAGAAAATCAACCGTTTGGTTGTGTCACTCGGTACAATTTCTGATAATAACACGGTTTTCAAATGACAAAATGATATCAATGTGGGCTGATGGAGTATTATAAAACTTTGACAGGTGATACGATACTAAAAGTAAAATTAACATGAGGCATGTCTGATTCCAGCGTATCTAGTTATGATGAGCGCAGTAGGTATCTTCACTTTAGAATATGTCTTGACAATTTGAAATTTAATAATTGACTTGTCACTAGATTAAAATATGACTTATCTGTACGACGAAATAAGGCATCGAGATTCGTGTACATCTTAATAAAATACCCTATAAAATTACTAAGATTCAGATAATGTTGCCTTTGTTTGTGGAGATTAAGTTAATGTAGATGTTAAGCCCTTGTGGCTTGTCGGCCAATTTGACCAATGAACAAATCTGTCGGGTTGTGATTGAATGAGGTTTAACGTCCTACTTTTCTGCTCCATCCGGGCTAATGAAGACGTCTGTCGGGTTGTATATACTTTGGTAATGAGCTTTGCTTATTCACCGGAGAATAGCACGCCGATAAAAACGAATCTTTGGTGCGTGCTGCCCAGTCACATGAAAGTTATATTTAAAAAAAGCTAAATGTACTAACTGTATTATCCGACAAAAAATATATAGCTAACAAACCGATAAAATATCTATCTATAATGCGTATTTTTAAAAACACTAATTTGCATTCCACACGCCATTTTGATAAATACTGGAATTATGGGACATCCACATGCATATATATATACACATACTTCCGCCAGATTAATAACGCAAACATTTTAGATTTTAGAAATGAAATGAAATGGGGTTTAACGTCCTACTGTTCTGCTCCTATATTGGGCTAATGAAGACGGGCATACACCATACAGTGTGCTATGAGGGAAATTTTGCCCGGGCAGATGCACTATCGCCTACTCTTATATCGAATTCCAACTGCCAAGGGATCTTTTACGTGCATTCTAATGTATACACGGGACCTCGGTTTTTCGTATCATCCGAAAGATTAGACAGCTGTCCTTGTCAGGCCCTCCGTTCTGCACCACTGACAAGGGAAACCGCGTCGGAAAATCCAGATGGACTTTCTCGGCAAATGCAGGGATCGAACACCCGACCTCCAGGCTAGCGGGCCAGCGTCTTAACCTCCCAGCCACCGTGGCTCCGTGTTAAACCAGATTAATATAACTAATTACTATAGTTTATGCTTGGGTCCCGTAAAACACCGATTATTGGTAGACTGCTAATGACTGCATAGATGAAAATGCAGTACACAGTATTATCAGTAAAAAAGGTTTGAGATTCGTGGTTTTGTCAAGATTAATTAAAATGAGTTTTAATTTCTCTTTTTTGTAATTTCGGAACGTGAATATTATACAAAACGATGTGACATTTTATAGAAAACGATAAAACGATGTGACGTTCTATAGAAAACGATAACACGATGTGACGTTTTATACAAAACAATAAAACGATTTGACGTTAATAAAACGAAGTACATTGAGGTATCTAGAATACAGTTTAGGTAGTAGTCCCACCCTGTAAATGCCCCTCTATGTAAATACCACAAATAACTAAGACGTGGTAGCAGATCTCTCAAAACGAATAAACGTTTTATATCTATAGCACAGACCTTTTTATGTGAACGATATATGTTACAGTGTGTTTGGCCTATGGATATATTCCTACGAACTGGCCGGCGGGTATTCTCAAAACAAGGAATAATAACCAATAGAACTTAAATGACAATTCCACCAGTCACGGCATGCATATGTGTATCAAACTTAAAAATGAATGACATTAAGAAGTCGAACTAATGAAAGATACCCTTTAAAATAATAATGTTCAGTGCTGAGTTTTCGGGAAAAGGTTTAATTGATAACACTTATTTCATGTATGGAGTCTTACACATGTGGATTGAGACTGGTAATATGTTTATTTTTTTTTTTACTTTTAGCAATTCTAACTTTCTCCCAGATAATTGCGACATTTTGGGCTATTTTTCGTTATAACGATGAAGATCATCGGACTATTTAAATAAATGATATAGACATGGATTGTTATAATAGTGAACTCATTAATGAGATGATTACTAGTCCAGATTCAAAGCTGAGTTATCTCCCTTCACAAACGTAAACCTGTTGTCAGCACAGTCGGGAATCCTCGTTCATTGTGTCACGGCGTATCAATTTCGTCCATTCTCTGTAGACCACCCACACATATATGGCAATTCCATTTTAAGCCCACTTTGCATGCACTGACAAAACGGAAACCGGCAAAACCCCCCGTTAATATTATCCACATGTGACGATGGTACACGTCTGCCGTGTGCGTATGTAACACATAACAAATTACTCATGCACAAAGATGACTTTTGACGATAAATGCTTAAAAGTGAATGCTGTTGTTAAAAGTACACTTGTAAGATTTTGGTAAACCAAATTATAAAAATAAACACAAATAACAGGAACATATTCACACGCTAAAGTAAACAGAAGTATTCACAATCCGTTGATATTTTAATCACCATTGTTTCTGTCAGGCAGTTTTCACAACCCCATTACTGGTTTCATTTAAATATTAAACTTAAGCTCAAAATAAAATATATTAAAACACAAACATAGTGTTAAACTTGATCATTGAAATATTTTTTAAACCACTTCCCTGTGTTATTTTCGAGAACGTTCTTTGTTTTTGTTGTTGTTGCTGTTGTCAGCATTTTGTGTGTTTGGTTAAAAGTTCTGATGCGAATGTCATAAAATCTGAAACAAAAACATTTACAATAGTTAATGTATTCAGAACATCAAAATGGAAACAGTAGTGTCAGCGGGGCAGAAGGTTTGGCCTGAAAAGGATTAGTGTCTAGTTGTTCGGATGGGACGAAAAAATCCAGGTCCCCTGTACACGTCAGGGTGTGCACATAAATAAGGCTAGACCGTTAAAATTCAGGTCCCCTGTACACGTCAGGGTGTGCACATAAATAAGGCTTGACCGTTAAAATTTAGGTCCCCTGTACACGTCAGGGTGTGCACATAAATAAGGCTTGACCGTTAAAATTCGAATTAAGACTATAGATAGGCCGTAGCGCCGATGTCCAGGCAAAATTCCAATTCTTTTCACCACCTTTCCGGCTGCTGGCATATTTTGTAGTGCAGTACACACATAAAGCATAACTTCAAAACTAATTGACTGGTGTTCAGGTGTATATTTTCGCTATTCACTCGGTCAAATTGTACAAGTGGATTATAAAATGACAACGCACGATTTAAGTGAATAGAGGTTTTAGATGTGGGCCTTTTTATATTAACTCGGTGAGCAGCTCGGCTAATTGCGCATATTATTTATTACAGTCGACCAATATACATTGCCTCGAACAGCTAAAGGGTTGCGTTACTGAATATATGGTGTGCCAGATGCGAGCATTTGCCTATGGATTTATGTACATCAGATCGGACTGGGCCTAGCGCCATTGGACGTGGTCCGATGGCCCGGAGGGACCAGGGATCCATTGGCCTAGATTGGGAAAAAAATAAATAAGATTCATCTTCTCATCCACTGAAAAATATAAAAGCTTAAATCGGGGATAAAAATAATCTAGTTTTGGTTTTCTCGTTATTTCACGTATTCTTCTACGCGATGCGGACCCAAGGAAACCAGTGGGTCCGAGGGCCCAGAGCTACCCAGTCCTCCCCTGGAGTACATGATGTCTGTGTGTTCAGATTTTACCTTCATAGTTCACCAAACCATCCCCATCTAAATCAGCCTCTTTTATCATCTCGTTAACCTCGTGATCTGTTAATATCTCACCGAGATTCGTCATCACGTGACGTAATTCATGCGCACTTATATATCCATTGCCATCTTTATCAAATACACGGAACGCTTCTCGTAATTCTTCGTCACTGTCTGTCTCTTTTAATTTTCGGTTCATCATTTGGAGAAACTCCTCGAAATCAATGGTACCATTACCTATAAATACCAACAGAGACAATTCTTAAACACCAACACAAGAAAAAATAGATAAACTAGGATAAACTAGGTAAACAGTTAAAGTGGCCACAGTAGAATGCATGCATGAATGAATTCATACGCCATACAGTGTGCTGTTAACGAAATTTTGTTATTTTACGTGCACGTTAAACTGTACACGGGACCTGGGCTTTTCGGCCCACCTGAACACCTAGACGCTGTTCTTGTCAGACCCCTTGACAAGGAGGATCAACGTCGAAAAATCCCGAGGAACTTTTGCGGCCAACACCTTGATCGAGGGCGGAACCCCCAGGTTACCGAGACAGCGCCGTTCTCACTGAGCTACTACGTATCGCCAATCACGGTTGGGTTGGGATGGGTTGGAGCTAAAACAGTCTACAAACTTAGTGAATCTTATAAATTTCAACATTTCTCAAAGAATCTACTGATATATGCAGTTACTATTAAAGATGTTGGCCATCACAATAACTTTTATGTACAGTATGTTATTTTATGGAGAGATAAGCAATGGAATATTATTCAAGAATGCGGCTAGTACCGTAGATTAATTAATATGTCTATTTAACATTTAGCGTGATTAACGGCTGATTAATACAAACAACTTTTTCGGGGGGTTAAATTATAATGTAATTATCCTTGAATTTGTGAATTTACGGATCGAAAAACCGAAGACAAGTTCAATTGTGTTTCCTTGTAATGCAAAAAACAACAAACGTACCATCGGCATCGACTTCGTTGATCATATCCTGCAATTCTTGATCTGTTGGCTCTTGGCCTAATGATCGCATCACTGTACCCAATTCGTCCGTTGTTATTGTTCCATCGCCATCTTTATCAAATAACGAAAATGCTTCTTTATAATCTGAAAAAAGCAAAAAATGTTGTTTTTTTTATGAGCTTTGTTTCTAAAAATATACCAAAAATATTCTATGAGTTTTAGAAAAACAGCTATGCTTTAGTTTCGCAGCTCCAATACACCATAAGAAATGAATGGGATTTAACGTCCTACGTTTCTGCACCGACTGGGCTAATGAAGACGGACATATGCAATACAATGGGCTCCGAGGCAAATTTCGTCCGGACAGCGACAATATGGCCTACTCTTATTTCGAATTCAAACGGGCCTTGCTTCTTTTACGTGCACGCCAATGTGTACACGGGACATTGTTTTTCCGTCCCATCCGATTGAATAGACACTGTCCTTATCATGATCAGGCCCATCCTCCGTCCTGCACCACTGGTACAGGGATATCACACTAGAAAATCGCGAGGAACTTTCTCAGTCCACACAACGAGCGATCCCGGGACTTCCAGATAGAGAGAAAGAGAGTTCGGGACTAACATAATTGTTTTCCGGGTGTGGCTCTTTGACAGTGAGGGGTAACTGGAAATGAAATGAAATGGGGCTTAACGGGTATACGTCATGCAATGTACTATAAGGGAGGGAAATTTGCCCAGACAGCGTCGCTATGGCCTACTCTTATATCAAATTCCAGCTGTCAAGGGTTATTTTACGTGCACGCCAATTTGTATATGGGACCTCGGTTTTTCGCCCCATCAGAACGACTATACGTTTTCCTTGCCAGGCCCTCCGTCCTACACCACTGACAAGGGGGAACCATGTCAGAAAAAATCCAAATGGACTTTCTCGGCCAATATTGGGATCGAACACAGGACCTTCAGGTTAGCGAGCCAACGTCTTACTCACCAAGTCACCGTGGTTCACGGGAGGAAACTGGAGGACCCGGAGAAAACTCACGAGGTTAGATAGGGGATCCTACTCTTTGTCACTGACAAGCGCAGAATCGAAACCATGTCAACTGACTAAATGACAGACCGTGTAAGCCCAAGCGCACGCGTTCTACCATTCGGGCACCCAATAAACACCTCATATTTTACAGACTTATTATTTGTAGAACAAATTTGTATACCAAAGGGTATAATGATGTAGTAATCAATTTAAACCAAAACGTCAGTTATTAAAGTACAGCGTACAAATTGAATGTTGTGTTTTTAAGGAAGCCAACTGAATGAGTCTTCAAAATAGCAATGAACTTAATTACGTTTCTAACTGAAAAATAAAACGTATTTATTTCCATTTTCGTCATTGTTTTGTACTGGAAAAAAGAAATTGTTGATGTTATATGAACTCGGGGCGCTTTGGTTATTGACGGGTTTCTTGACTTGACTGATGATCTTAACAGAATCAATACTTTTCCACCGTTGAAATTGCCTTAAATTACATTTACAACAAATTGGTGCTATAACCAGACACAGAATGGTTTAAAGAATTGCTTTTAAGGCGACAAATAAGTCAGTTATTGACAATAACACAACTGAGTTCCTTCCCTATTTTATCAGAAGGCAAGAAAACACCGAAAACTGCCATCCATATTAATTACCAATATATCTCTGTGCGTATCCCATTGTGTCCAGAACTCTTTAATTCATCTACAAATCTATTCATCAGTATGACACTATCAATATACGAGTATTGATATAATAAAGATGGCTCTTTTTCATAAGATCAGTGTTTGAATTTAAGTGATCAAGACATGACCGAAAGGTAAAAAATAAATAGTGCCTTCAATGGAATACATCTTTATGTGGATGGCACTATTTATTTTATACCTTACGGTCATGCCTTGAACAATTAAATTCAAACACTGATCTTATAGCAAGAATTACCTAATAAAACAAATACTCGTATATTGATAAGACGTATCACATTGTAAGATAAAATGACCAGTTTAGGATAAATTTTAAGGTCACATTAAAGTAACGATGCGTCAATTGCAGTTTTCGCAAAAATATCAAAATGTTCACGGCTTAAGCCACGCTTATATGTACCCTGATTCATTTTTAAAATTTAATTAAGAAAACAAAAGCAAAATACCAGATAATACTAGATAATCTCCCGTCCATTCGAACAGCATAGATCGATGAAATTTCAATCCAACACAACTGAATAATTACTGAACGGAACTGAACCATTCGTGAACCGGGATTCCTATAAGACATTTATTTTTCACAATATTGTAGTTTGCAAGGAATTCCCATTGCTTGAAATGACGCATCGAGGCTATAATATTGAGGGATCGTATCTTTATGTAGTTAATTGAATTGGGACCCTTGGTTGGCGGATATATCACAATACTCGTCGCATGTCTTAACGACATTCCATTTATCACTAAAATAAGTTATTATCTAGTCTTCATCCTTATACTCTTCAAAAAAAAAGAAATGGATAGCCCATTTTACATATATTTTTTTTATTTAAACGTGACCGTTGTTTCCATAAATCTTATTTGTTTTTAATTTCATTATGTAAGGATAAAAGAAATTCATGATTGGTTTCCTGGACGACGTAGGATCTCAGACCAGACAGTCCGTAAACGTCTAAGTGAAACGGGATTACCAGCCAGGGGCCTGTTTCACAAAATTTTAACTAAGATAAAATCCAAATTTTAGTAATTTGATTGGATAATATTAGATTGATTTTAGTGCTTAGCCAATCAAAATTGAAGTATCTACTAAAATTTGGATTTTATCTTTAGTTATGATTTCGAGAAACAGAGCCCAGACGTTAGAGCTGCCGTTTTGAAATACGCCGACACCGTCAAATCCGCCTTCAATGGGTTCAGAACCTCGGGGTATGGCTACAGTAACGCTGGAGAACAGTTCAGCGACGAGTCGCGGTACCTGTTGAAATGAGGCGATGGTAGAGCGAGGATATACCGACGACGAAATGCGTATATAAAGAAACAACATGGATCGTGTACAAGCAGAGCTCTGCTTTCCACCATAAACCATATTATGTTTACCAATTGTTTGAAAGTAATAAAATATGACAAACCCTATTTATAATTTAATGTTAAAGCCCCCGATCCGATATACTTTTAAACAGAACACGCTACACTGGTTTATTGACATGAAACCATAACTGCCAACCTTTTCCCATTTCGCTCGATTTTCCGCATGAATGTGTACAAACTATTAGTTAACAAATTACATTTCGTTCAAGCTGACTTGACACAAAAATACGTCTACAAAATAATTAAATTTTGTAATCAGTGTGAAGACGTGTATAGGACAACGAATGCCTTGTTAATTCGCGCAGTCTAATAATATAATAGGGATATAGTTGAAACAAATGTAGCCCACTAATTCACCCCCTAAGAGTCTAAATCAACCACTGGATTGCGCTTTCTTTATAGACAAATTTCCTAGTGATATTTAAGTCCGATTTTTCCTTTTATGGAGGACTTAGCAAGGAACGGCGTTTTTCAGGTGGGACAGAAAAGAGGTCCCGTGTATACCGTTGGCTACCATTAACAGTTGGAAATTAGATTATGCACCATCGCTGCTATGGGCAAAATGTCGCCCTTACCATAAGCTTCAGTTGGTGCAAAAATAAAATAGGACGTTAAACCCCATTTCATTTCCTTTTTTGCTTTAAAGGTACGTCAGCAGTTTGTAATATCGTCCCATTTATACGTTTTCAAAAACGCAAAAATCACGAGAAAACCCAAAATACTCCTAACACCAAACCAATCCTACTAACGCAGGACATTACCGTTCAATATTTGCCAAAATCGAAGTCATCCGAGAACTTTATAGGATATAAACATGCCAGTTTCATTAAAATAGGATAAAAATCGTTACCTCTAGGTGTCCACAAGCTAAAAACGTGATTGATAACACTTGTAAGTGCGATCAAAATCAGATAAAACTTGTTACGTGTAGAGAGCTAACAAACAATTTTTTAGTTCAAAATTTCGTTTTACTTGTCTTGACTACACTAGCATCTGGAAGAGTTGTTATAATTGACGTGTTCTGAATGATGTGAGGGTTAAGGCAATGAAATGGTCTGTTACAGAGCTTTTGGCGTGTGGTGCACGGAACTGTGGGCAATCCATTAGCAACATCAATGCTGATTGGTTAATCAAATGTCTGACGTCATAGGGTCAAATGCCACTGGTATGACATCTGACGCGACCTATTACTACAACCAGTCAGATCTTCATGTAGTGTAGGTCATCGAAAGTATACAAAAACGAAATGAAATATAGATCTAAATTTTAATCAGATCCATGGTCGTACGAACACGACATAATACGTCACATGAAAATGTAGGCGTATAACGGTCTAGTACCTGTTTACAACTCGAGTCTGTTCAATGTCTATTAAAGAGAGAGAGAGAGAGAGAGAGAGACAGACAGACAGACAGAAAGAGAGAGGGGAAAGAGGGGGTGGGGTAACGTCCACTCGGCACAAACTAGGTCATTTCCGGACTAACATATGGTTTTAATGTATATTAAAGAATTATCTTAAATGAAATTGGTTAATAAGCAATCTGCATTAAAACGTGGAAATGCGCAAGGTTACATTAATTGAACTCTTGTTATAAAATGGCGACGTCGCCCTGATTTCGTTGTCACAATATCGCAAATCAAATTATTTTTCAAATATACTCAAAATATTCAAGAATCTACATTGCATTTTATCATAAAAGTTAAGTTACATGACTTCGACTATCCCAGATTACATATTTTATGTTGAACATTATGCTCAAAATATCTAAGAATTCAGATTACATCTTATTAAAAATGTGTCATTTCATTTTATATTATATAATATCACACCATAGGGTCCTATGTTTCTGCAACAAATGGGCTAATGAAGACGGGCACACGCCATGTCGTGTGTTTTTAACTTATCTTGACTGTCAGGGTTCTTTTACGTGTACGAAGTTATTGTCCCATCCGAACGACTAGAGTCTTTGCATTGCCAGAACCTCCATCCCGCATCAATGAGATGGTTAAACTACGCTGGACAGTCGCGTATGATTATGCCTTTCGC